ACACGGGTACCCCCTTCCTCAATACGTCATAGCCAGCAACCCCCTGCCACGCCACTATTCTCCTCCAGGGGTCTATCCTCATCTCAGCCACATCCCCCAAAAGGGATTCTATGACACATGAATATTGCTGTCTTCACTGAAGTGAACACTGCAGTCTGGCTGTAGCATACACATAGGCACTGTCACACAGCCAGCGCAGAAAATTAAACTTGGATTCGATTCAGAATCATGATGCATTTTTTACCTACATCTTACATTGTACATACATGCATACCTTGAGTATGCTGTTTTGCAGATGAGGTTAATTGTTATTAATTACTTTCTAAAGATAATTGTTAATAAAAAAGATCATCATTTTGGAAGAAAAGCATGCCATCTTTCGGTTTGATGATTTTGCAGTGCTAGTGATTCATATAACTGTTAGACTATTAGAAACGTTATCATTTTGGTTCAGGTGATGAAAACACATCTCATACTAGCAGGATATCCACCGTCCTCTAATAATCCACTGGTGAGTCCTCAGTTTGTAGATGATACATGCTGCTCTGGGCCTTCCGCTCAATTTATAGCATAAATCAGACTTGCCATGCTTGTATAACATATGCAATGTCAGCTTAATGCAAACTGGCATCTATTTGCAGAGGAAATATCCTATCCTTCCAACAGCTCTCTATACCTATATCAAGAGATTGCTCTGTTTACCCACTCTGCATGTAATGTCCTTAAGTTTGTGACTATAACTGCAAACCTTTACATAGCAAATAGCCTCTAAACTGAATCAGACCTCACATAGACCCATTCTTTGGTCTGAGACCATGGTAAGACGACAAGTACCCATGTGTATATGTGTGATGATGATGATGCATAAGCTACTGAATCTTTACAACTTCAACTCATTGGTTTGATTGTGGCACCAATCGCTGTTTGACCTACTGATTATAATGAGTTTTTCAAATTCAAGGACCAAATAAATACTGTTTTTACTCATTGCACTGATCAGGAAGGCAGAAAGAGAAGGACAGAAGGGGAGAGAGGTGTAAAGAGAGATGATTTTTCCATCTGCTTACACAATGAGACTTTCAGCATTACAATGTCTTTGAATGATCAGCCTGAGAGACCTTGACCTGCAGTCCCCTTCCTCTATCAGACAGTCAGTCCTGCTCCATCTGATCACAAAGGAAGCTAATCGCTTTGCCCTGTCCTTGTGCCTCCTTGATTAAATGAATGGATGCTTGCCAAATCTGTGGTTATTTTAGAAGCGTAACAAGAAGGGCGAGAGGAGACCTTGCTGCCTTGAGATGCCTCTTCAGTCTTTATTTATTATTGTTAAAGGTGTTTGCTAAGGGTCAGGGTTAGAGATTTGATCGAACCCTGAACCTCAAGTATTACTCTTTTTTTAATTCACAATTTATCCATTTGTTGGTCACTTTTATCCAGAATTATTGCATTCAAGGTATACATTTAACAGTTAATGGATGGATTGGAAATCAGACCCATGATTTGGCATTGTTATCGCCATGGTTTACTGTTTGAGCTACAAATCTTAAAGGGTTAGTTCACCCAAAAATGAAAATTAGCCCATGTTTTACTCACCCTCAAGGCATCCTAGGTGTATATGACTTTCTTCTTTCAGGTAAATCCAATCGGAGTTATATTAAAAATCGTCCTTGCTCTTCCAAGCTTTATAATGGCAGCAGGTTTTTTTTTTTTTTCAACAGTCCAAAATAAGTCAAATTAAGGGCATCCATCCATAATAAAACATGCCTCGCACGGCTCCAGGGGGTGAATGAAGGCCTCCTGTAGTGAATTGATGCATTTTTGTAAAAAAAAATATCCGTATTTAAAATGTTATAAACACTTTTCTCTCACTTCCACTGACTGTCATACATGCAAGCCGTTCCGGGCGGATGACGTAGGACGTATGCGTCGCGCACACGCCTGTGAGTTTTGCTAGTGTTGCGAGTTTGTTTACAGGAGCAAAGGAACCAAAGTTTCCTTACTTTAGCAAAGGAAAACCAGTCTCCTCTTGGCTTGTATTGAAATCCTCCGACATTTTTCTTTACAAATCGTCATTTTGTGCTTCTAATTCGTGGCTGGCATTTTGTTTTGCTCTCACCTCCGTGCTTCCTCATTCATCGCTAATCACCGGCGCGTGCGCGACGCCTACGTCCTACGTCATCTGCCGGAACAGCTTGCACGTATGACAGTCAGCAGAAGTGAGAAAAAAGTGTTTATAACATTTTAAATATGTATATTTTTCTTACAAAAACGCATCAATTCACTACAGGAGGCGTTTATTCACCCGCCGGAGACGTGTGAGGCATGCGTTATTATGGATGGATGCGCTTTATTTGACTACTTTTGAACTGTTGAAAAAAAAACACCCACCCATAGCCATTATAAAGCTTGGAAGAGCCAGGACCATTTTTAATATAACTCCGATTGGATTTGTCTGAAAAAAGACATTCATATACACCTAGGATTCCTTGAGGGCGAGTAAAACTTGGGCTAATTTTCATTTTTGGGTGTACTAACCCTTTAGTCATTTTGTGCTTCTAATTCGTGGCTGGCATTTTGTTTTGCTCTCACCTCCGTGCTTCCTCATTCATCGCTAATCACCGGCGCGTGCGCGACGCCTACGTCCTACGTCATCTGCCGGAACAGCTTGCACGTATGACAGTCAGCAGAAGTGAGAAAAAAGTGTTTATAACATTTTAAATATGTATATTTTTCTTACAAAAACGCATCAATTCACTACAGGAGGCGTTTATTCACCCGCCGGAGACGTGTGAGGCATGCGTTATTATGGATGGATGCGCTTTATTTGACTACTTTTGAACTGTTGAAAAAAAAACACCCACCCATAGCCATTATAAAGCTTGGAAGAGCCAGGACCATTTTTAATATAACTCCGATTGGATTTGTCTGAAAAAAGAAATTCATATACACCTAGGATTCCTTGAGGGCGAGTAAAACTTGGGCTAATTTTCATTTTTGGATGAACTAACCCTTTAATATTATGTTAAACTTTGGTGTTTAACTCTACTCACATGTTTGTGATACAGACATGTATGATACCACAAATCATTGTAAGGGAAACAGGTCAATTTAGCTAAAAGGGAATCATTCATGATTTTATAGGGAATTTGGACAGAATCACTGTTTTACGGCTGATCACTGAGTCGGCCAGCGATTCATTGAACGAATCGTATAACATCAATTCTGCAATGTATATTAATATCCAAAGTATAGTGAAAACACTATTTATTAGCACAGTAACAAGATCGGCAGTTTAATACATTAACTTGCAAGCACAAAACACAAGATACCTCTCCTTTCAATATAAATAAGGCTTTATTGGATAAATCTAAGACATATAAACTAATCTAACACATGAACACATGCATTCACACAAGTTGCAGAAAGAGAGTAAGTGAGGAAAGAATGAGTTTGAGAGAGTGAAAATGTGAAATCCCAAGTTTATAGCAATATGTGCCATTGCATAGACCTGAACAACCATCAATCATTTAATTAACCCTCGCATTGAGTTCCTCAATGAGGCTAAAATGTATATTAAATGCACCAGTTCAGCTAGAATCTGGAGGTACTTGTGCTGCTTGTTTTTTGGGGCTCCCTTGTTGTCCTCCTTGCAGAAAGGGATTTCTCAAGGTTGCTGATTGGCTGGAAGTTCAGTAGTCATTGAAAGTGACGTCTTGGGAAGCGAATGGTTGGGCGTTGGCTGAAGATGCGGAGTTGTAGGCTGGTTGAAGTTTTGAGGTGGTCACAGAGTCGAGGTGAACTCGGAGACATGGCGTTGCAGCAAAACTTAAGTCAGAACACAAAACTCTCAACGGAAAAGAAAAGAAACTAAAGTAAAAGAAAGAAAAGAGTTAAGTTTGATGAAAACTTTGGTTTTAGAGGAGCTGCTGGCATGCAAGCCATAGCACGCTGGAACGGCGCTCGAAGAATTCACGGGCAAAAAGCATGGCTAAAAGCATAAAGCAAAAAGCAATGACTAAAAGCATAATTTGATGGTGTCCAGAGTTTTTAAACCGGGCTGTTGGACACATCCCAAATGGTGTCTTGACCAATTAGACATTGTCTTAGCTCGGGGTGTTGCTATGTTTCTGCTCCACATAAATCAGCATGTTATCTTATAAGTCACATGGTCCGAATTTTCCCGCTCTTGCAGAGTATAATTTGGACATGATTTTTATAACAAAAATATAATACATTTGACAAAGTATTGATTGATAGAAACAGATGAGGACCCCCCATCCCCCAACCTGAGCCAAGTGGTAAAAGCCTCCCACCCCCCAATCCCATCCATAGACCTTAGTCTGGTTAGACTCCATATTGAATTGAACGCTGATTAAAACGAGGCTGTGAGAGATAGACTTAGTCATTACAATGGCACGTACTGAATAAAGGTACTAGATGATGTCATCTTCTCAACTCTCAAAACTGATTTATGGAGATTTTGTCTACTGAAAATCTTTTGAAGATGAACAATTGGTATGTTGTCAAAAAAATTAAATATGGTGCCACCCTGATTCTGCAGTGTGCATCATGTATATGTGACAATCTCTTTGTCAATCTGGAAACCCACCTAAATATTTTCAGTTGGGGATTTGTTGTGCTAATGATTCAATAATGCAATAGTCAATACTCTTGTTCACAAGGCTGTGCAGTCGTTCTGATTGATGTTGTTCAAAGGGACTGTTACATGTCATGACTGTGCATTGATTATTGCTGCTTTGATTTGTCCTTTTGCTACTGCATGTTACTATAAATGTATATAGCACTACTGTGTGTGGATTCATTCTGTCATTGATTCCCAAGAAACAAGCTAATAACAATATTTGTGCTTAAAGACATTCATTTTTACACTACCACGAATGCCCTCCTGTTGCAGCAGATAGTAAATTTGCCTTTAAAGGAATAATTCAGCAAAAAAATAAAAATTTGCTGAACATTTACTCACCATTGCCATCCATGACGTAGATGGGTTTGTTTTTCTTGGGAACAGATTTGGAGAAATTTAGCATTACATCACTTGCTCACTGTCATGAGGTTAGCAAAGGGAAAAAGCAAAGAGAGTGGATCCAAATGCATGCACATTTGAATGTCACAAATATACAAAGCTCCAAAATTCCAGTGAACTGATTAACACTTGTGCGGTCTTCAGTCACTTCTGACCGGAGAATTTTACATTTGGAATTTTTTTAAATTGTAGCTTAACCAGAATGGTACGAAACTTGATGACTTTTATGGCACTTGGTATGTGAACACAAAAATAATTAAGGGTACGATTCGAAAAAGCTAAGTGGTCGTAAAAAAATAGTCACACTCATGGTCTTCGGTCAAAAATGATTGACCATAGGAAATGAATGGGAAATGGGGGGGAAAAAAATCGAAAATACAGAAAATTTCTGTGTGCACAATCTACAAATCCCCCACGATGCAGAAAAAAATTGCACAGCAATGAAGGGGTGAAACTCTAAAACATATCATAGAGTGCAAAATCAACACACCATCTCACACACGCACGGACACACACTTGTACAAGATGAAGAAACAAACTCATCTACATTTTGGATGGCCAAAATTTGTCATTTTTGGGTGAACTATTTCTTTAAGCCTTTTTTCACCATGTATTTTTTTTTCTCATTCTGTAAACCAATGCACTCACATATTCTCTGTCATTTTTATATATACTGTAGGTTTCCAATATAGCAACCTGCTAATGTAAGTCTTTGCTGTAAAATTAATTTTCCTTGCCAAGTACGCAACCTTCTTTGTTCACCCAATGAGTGGATGTGAGATATAAATCCCTCTTTTAAATATCTATCAAACTAATTTTATTTTTATGTTTCTCACACTCGTATTAAAGCAGGTTCTTTTAAGACGAAACAGGAGGAACCGAGAGCCATTCTTTAGCAGTCATTCTGCAGCAAGCACATAATTTTGTATATATGTTGTAAATTAAGCCAATGCAGTTATTCATAATGATTTATAAATCAAACATCTGTGTTTTAGAAATACATAATTTACTATTTGGGCCATGTTGTTGTTTGAGAAATATGCATTATAAAAAAAGTGTTTGCCGCCTTCTATGGTATATCAGTTGAGCTCTTTGTTTTGAGTCATGAGGAGGTGGTGTGTTGTGCTGTCCTGATTAATAACAAAATATGCAACACATGTCGAATTTGGACCATATATGATTATTGAATGATTAGTGAGCTGCTTTCCTGATTGCTATCAGGCAGGGGGAGTAGCTTATTATGGTCTTTTTAACCCCAGCTACTTAGTGGAGGGTACTAATGTCCGCTGGAACCAGTTGGTCTGTCTAGCATTTCCATTAGCTGCAAAGTCTTTTGAATTGGTACTTAATTCGGTAAAACCAAAGATTGATTATGATGGTCAGAAGAGAGAACGAAATCAAACATCAAAATAACATTGTATTAGTTAGCTGTTGACTATAGTTTTCCATAACACTAGGGTAAAATATCGTAATATCGCTTTATAAATGTACATTACATTTAAAAATAAATAGATCTAATAAAAAAATGCTCTATTTATGATCTTATCATCCTCGCTGCTTTCTATTCACTTTGTATTTTTAGAGTCAAGTCCTGTATGTTTACATCATAAAAGGTGCTGCTGTTTTACCCCTTGGCTACTTGTGACCAGCTTTGATTCATTGTGTGGCTTTCTACTTATATCACCTGCTTTATGTAACCAGTTGGTCTGTCTAGCATTTCCATTAGCTGCAAAGTCTTTTGAATTGGTACTTAATTCGGTAAAACCAAAGATTGATTATGATGGTCAGAAGAGAGAATGAAATCAAACATCAAAATAACATTGTATTAGTTAGCTGTTGACTATAGTTTTCCATAACACTAGGGTAAAATATAGCAATATCGCTTTATAAATGTACATTACATTAATAAATAGATAGATCTAATAAAAAAATGCTCTATTTATGATCTTATCATCCTCGCTGCTTTCTATTCACTTTGTATTTTGTATATTTATTATATATATATATATATATATATATATGAACTTGAATATTTGTATAAAGGGCTTTAGAAATGCTGCACTCTAAAAACTGAGCTTGATAGAATGTCTAACATTTTTATTTCTTTGATTTCCCTGAAATGGTCATTTCAAGATGTTTGGAGGACAACATTTGGATAGCTTAAAAACCATGCCATTGGGCAGTAGCATAAATGATCTGCTAAGCAGTAATACATGACATAAATATCATGTGTATTTATCCCGTTTCCTTTGTTTGTGCTCTGGTCTGGTCCTTGTTATGTTCTATTTGTTGTGAGTCTTAAGGTTGGAATACTCTACAAAACGTTTGCCCAGATTTTGGCCTGATTTACACTTTGAAGGAGTTTGTGAAAATCAAAGCCAGCCTGCAGAAAATGTGCAGTCGGAGTTGACAGATTTCACAGAAAATCGCATATAGGGTGTGATGGACATGAACTCCCAATTTTTCTGGCGTTTTTTAGCAGACTATGAATCCATCCTGTTGGAGGATGTTTGATATTTTAAGCCGATTTTACATACTCTTTTGTGAACTGTGAATATGTTTAGAACAACTTTTATTCGTTTGTTTGTTTGAATGTTTGTTAGTGTGTGAAATTTATGTTTTAGTGTATGATGCTCAGTTTTTCTCTTTAACCTTTAACCTCTTTGTTAATTTTTTTTTTTTTACATTTGTGTGTATACCAATCTTTACAGTATTTCTCATGCTTTAGTTTATGGTCTTGATCTCTTGTATTATATTCCGAAATACATTCGGATCCACAATGCATGACAGTACGCAAAAAAACAAACACTATTTATGGGATTGAAATCCAAAGCAATTTAATCACAGAGGGAACAGAGATATGGCATAAGAGAAATGAAAATCCCCAACAACCTGGCTCACTTAAAGAATTATTAAAACAGCATAAGATTTAACAAACATGTTATTCAGAACAGTTATCTTGAAAAATTATAGATGTGCTGTAACGACTTCTTAAGCTGGTGTGTTACTGAGCAATGGCAGCTTGCGCTTGGGGAGTGCAGGGATCAGGACTTATTTTGTTCAGCTGCACAATGACAGAGTCATACTGTCTTTTCCATTCCTCTGGTGACAGTGAAGATGGGCTGGTCTCCAGGAACTTATACGCATCCTTCGTCTGCAAGCTAAAGATGCCCTTGGCATTCAGACAGGACTCACCGAAGTCCTTCCAATGCTGAAAGATGTGAGTTACAAAATGAATCTCAAGAGAAAATGCAATCAAGGTGAAATTAACTTCTGTAAACCTCTAAATGAACATTTACTCGGTGTGTAAGTTACCCGTTGTGCTGTAGTGATAGATTGCAGAAAGATCTCTTTCATTTCCCACTCCTCAATGAAGTGCTCGTTAGCAAAAGTCTCGTCTTTGAGAGCCTCCAGCATTACACTCATTGTTTCCCAGAACTTCTTAAGCTGAATCAGAATCTGTTGGATTCGGGTGAGGCAGGTTTGGACATCATTCAGATGGACAGGGTCGGGTATTGAACCTTTTAGAACAACATATCTGAACAACATAAAGCAGACATTAATTATGAGAGATCACTCTGAGGCTTCTGACCATTTATATGGGAATTTGTCAAGCACAGCTGTGAAAGCATCTCACCCTTTTCTAATTTCATGCTTGCCAACTTCCGCTGCATATCAGTCAACCTGACATGGATGTTCCACTCCTTGTTTCTCAGGTTGGACTTCTCATTGGAGAGTTGAGACAACTCATTGGAGATAGCCTGGGTTTTTGCAGCCACAGCTTGGCCAGCTTGAGCATCATGAATGGATTTAATTAAGGGTCCAACAAATGGTATCAGGATAGCCATGATACACAGACCATTGTTTTTGTTAGAAGACTCTCTGATATGACTCTGCAGCTCATTGTTTTTCTGTGCAATCCTTCCATCAATTCGTCCAATTTCCTGATTATTTTTCCACAATTCCTGGTTGAGATCAATCACTGCCTTCTCCAGAGCATCTATCTCCTTATTAGCTTGTGCTAAATTTTTTTCTGTCTCAGCCTTTTCATTAATCACATCACTGGTGCATGAAGCCACACTCTGGTTGTGTTTGTCATATCTGATGATGACAGGTTTCAGATTAACTATCGGCTTAAACATAGCAAATGTTCTTGATAATGCACGGAAACATGGTGACATACATCCAGTTGCTATATTAAAAGTGGTCCAGATATGGTCAATTTAACCATTTTATTACACTTTCTTATGAAAATTTTTTTTAACAATTTAGCAACACTTCGAAACATTTTACCTCTCCATCATCTGTTCCACTTTTTCAACAATATCAGTGATCCATGCTCTTGCTTTTTCCAGGGACTTGATGGCCAAAATGCTTTTATTCTTTTCAACAGCAGCCTTCAGTGCAGGCAACAGTGTGGAAACCAGGTTTTTACTTGTGGCAGCACACTGAAAGACAGCAAAAATGCGAACATTATGTATCCAAACATTTCATATTTTACAACACAGGCTGTGGTGGAAACCTCTCAGTCTATCAAAAATAACACATCAGAGAGCTGCTTTATAGATCATTTGAATTTTCACAGAAATGTGCAACCTTAATAGTCTATTGGATGTGGGTTGCAGTAACAGAAATGCCTGAAAAACTTTGGCTTTATCTTCAGCAGAAGAGCTTCAGATGACCCAAAGAGAAGCTGGGTTTCAATAGCACGCTCTCTGAGTTCCCTCTCCAACTTGGGGAACTTAGCCAAACACAGGTAAGAGAGATGGTAGAGCAAAGCCGTACGCTGAGCAGATGGAAGAAGCTCCCGAATAAAGTCAGGGCTACTTGCGATCACAAGCTCTGTAGAATTACAAATGTGATCGTTGCTACATGACTGTATTGACTTGCACATGCCATTTTGTTTGTTTATCCTAAACAGTAATTTGATTCAATATGTTTTTGAATATGTTTTTGAAGTACGATTCAGTATGTTTTTTACGTTTTAATTGATGCTGAAATGTACAAATTGGACGAATTA